TATATATATAATTACAGTTTAAAAAGAGAATGTGTTCCCTAAGAGGTCTATGTTAGTGCACACAAAGCCAGAAGATAAATCGAGTCCAATAAAAAAAAAAACCACAAAAAAAAACTCCGTACTGTAAAAACCATAAAGAACAAGAAGCAGTGTTGGCAGAAAATTAACGGCGCCTGTCTAGGTTTTTTTGTAAAAATTAATGGCGCCTGTCTAGGTTTTTTTTGTAAAAATTAATGGCGCCTGTCTAGGTTTTTCTGAAAAAATTAACGGCGCCTGTCTAGGTTTTTCTGTAAAAATTAACGGCGCCTGTCTAGGTTTGTTTTATTACTTCGTGATTATAATATAAACATTATTCAGTTCATAAATACGCTCGAGCCGCTGATATATATATGTATATATATATATATATATGTGTGTGTGTGTGTGTGTGTGTGTTTCCATAAAGATACATTTTATAAACGTAAAGCTGCTGAACTATCTATTCCCCACCACCACCCCAATTATAGCATTATAAGCCCTCAAGCTTACTGCTGAATAACTGGGAGCCTTTTTAAAATCAACAATACTCTTGTTATAATTGAAGTAAATGCACCAAAGGACCAGTTAAGTACCAATATCATACAAAGAGTTTACGTTTCAATATGGCTGAACTTGAGAAAATAATTAAAACACATTAGGGTTAAGCAGTGAGAAACAAGCAAAATATATTGATTTAAATAATAAAAATAAGACTTAATGGTATATAATGATCCAAGAGGTGAGGTTCAAAGGACATTGTAGTTTAATATCAAATAAAAAATGTAAAATATGGCAAACATTCAGAAATGAGATTAGTGAAATTCAAAAACATTTAACGTAAAATTGATTAAAATACCATCAGAAATACGGGGAGGTGAAAAGAGTGACAATCGGCAATGAAGTTGTTTGGTAGTGATGTTAAAAAAGCGATTTAAGTAGAAAGTTTACAACCAAAGAGTTAATGTGTGAACATAGTTAAGCGTTTACACTTTGAAAATGTCACAAATATTGGAAGAACGAAATAAATAAATAATGTTGTATGGACTGATAATAAATAGAAAGTCTGAGTGTTTTAGAAAATTCAGAGGTTTAAGTAAAATTGTGTAAAACAGTAAAATATGGCGAGTCTGTTTGGTATCGGATTGTTCTTATTCTACATTTTCGACAGGTATTGTTAAAATCGGTTTGTCATGCGTAACCAGCAGACGACGTTCATTTATTGACTGTTTGTTCTAACTTACACATTGGTACAACAGTCAGCTGTGTTATAGTTCGCACAAGCCTGTGTTTCGAGAACACAATTATTATTGTTGTGGAATAACTCATTGTTTGTGTTAGTTTACATCTTTTTATACTGTAATTCTATGATATCGAATATAACACGTAAACAAAAAGAATAAAACTATTTGTTTTTTAACCTGCGATTACAAGTTGACTGCTAATACTTCATACATTGACCGATAACTGTAGTTCTTACATGTTAGCCTGAATCGTATATCTAAATGCAATGTATTTAAATACTCGAATATACCACATGTACTCCCGCAGGGTTCCCGAAAGTGTTCTGTTAGAAGTGTAAATAAAACCAAAATTAAGAGTAACAAATATTTTATTTCTCCTTTTGAAGTTCAAATGTCAAGCTGTGTTGTAGCCTACAGAGTACATAATTCTTCTCGTGATTCATGGCGTGCGCACGATTTACTGATGTAACGACA